GCAGCATTAGACACATGCACAGCACTGAGTGACACCAGTTGGTCTAGCCAAGGCCATTCATACCAGACTATGGCCAGTACAACTAACTGAGTCAACCTTCAGCTAGCCAGTGGCACAAGTGAGCACAGTCAAACCAACCAATCCATGACACAGAGCTTTCGTGTTGTTTGCCACACAGCATTATTTTAGCAATAGATAGCTAATGCATGAGTACTATGCAATCTATCCTAAATCAACTGTCAGAGTAATACCTCTTCATTATTACTGTATCATGTCACCAGTTCAAAGTTCTACTGATTATCCTGTATACAAACTCCTGTTCTTAGCAGTCACCACTCATGAGCAGGCCACACTCCTGCACTGCCTCTGTATAAAACTTCATTCCTACCCTAAAGCTCCTCAGTAAACAAAACTGTTAGTTATTCTCTTTATTTAATTCCTATTTAGTCTTCTTCAAGAAAAGAAAAGATACTGCTAGCTCATTGGTCTTCCTGTGAAAATCAGAAAGCCCCAAGCCTAACCTGGAAAGCAGAGAATAGGCTGAATTTCTAGCCCCCAAATGCCCTTGAACAGGGTCCTGTGCAAAACTCTACTGCCCCACAGGAAATACCTTTCAATTAGTTACAACCTTTCCTTTCCTTTCCTTTCCTTTCCTTTCTAAAACCTCCTCCTACATGAAATTTTCTGTAGTTAATAACAACTAATATTATATCCCAAATATTTTAGTACATTTATAATTTTTTCAATACTATGTTAATTGAGATCCATTTATATAATTTTTGCTAACCAACTCTATTCCTTAAGTTGTCTGGGAGCCAAATTATATTATTTTCCCATATTTCCTTTACAAACATATGTAACTATTTAATCACACACCGGAAGCACTCAATATATGTAAAATGAGGTAATAAAAAGAAATTTTAAACTTTTATATACGACTTTTTGCAATAAAAATCTTGCTGCCTTCAATTTTTCTTTAAATAATCTTAATAACCATATTAGTAATTAACAAATATTTGCCCTGATTTAAAAAATGTGGAACTATTTATTTTATCAATATACCCAGTAAATTTTTCTAATACTTAGTAATATGTATATATCTGAGCATCAGAACCATATGTGTATATATTTATATATAATTAAATTAGTTAAGACAAATATAATTATTGTCATATTTAAGGCTTCATAAATTAATTAGTTCTTACTTATATTACTACTTACATTATTTTCTTCAATTAGCATAAACTACCCTTTAAGGTATCATCAGTATTAGCAACCTGATATAGCATGGAGTCTGAAGACTGGACTCAAGTTGATGATGTATGGTAGAATAACAATATAAACCAGATCTTCCTGTTTCAAGTTTATTGCTCTTTTTACATCAAAACACGTATACATTTAGTTCTGGTTTTGTTTTAAGAGCCCTTACTACTGGTACTCTACTGGTTGAGACGGTTGTAGATGATTAACATGCTCCTGTTCTCAAGGACTTTATAATGTAGGTTGCTAAACAGGCACATAATCAAGTAACAGCAATAATATGGTAAATGATAAAGGTAAAGAACACGGAGGAAATGTGCTCGGTGCAGAGAAGTCTTCTGGGAAGATAGAGAATCTTGGCTGGGATGAAAAGTGAATCAGACAAAGATACTGAGGAGGAACATTATGGGCAGAGAAATAAATATGCATTAAAAAAAGACTAGACGAGATGAAGTTTGTGGGGACATTGCAAACAGTGAACTGTTATTCAATCATACAACTTTACACATTTGCAAAAATGAAAATGTTAGGTGATAGAATAATGAAGCAGTTCAACACCACATGTAGCAGAAAAACAGAAAATAAGAAATAACAGAGATATTTGAGGGTTATTTAATAGATTATAAACAGTATGGCCCAAAGAGGACTGAATTCAGAGAAGAGGGAGAAAGCATTATCTGTGAGGACTCTTGGGTGTCTGGGTGAAGAACTCAAGTAGATTTGTTTGAGGAATGGGAGACAAATGACTGAGTTGGGGGCACATCGAATCTGAGGTCCTGTGGCATATTTAACTGGGTCTATGGAAGGTACGAAATTGACAGTCTAGCCTGGAGATATGGAATAATTTAAATTTATCAGCACTGTTTAACATATTTACACCTAATCACATAATGAAGAACTAAACACTATGGCTACTACACCTTTTATACAGTTAGGGTTGTTAAAATCACTGCTACATTTGTTTGTAAAGTAATGATAGGAGAGAAAGTGACTAAAGCAAAGTACCAAATCATCAACACCTGATAGTATTATACAGGCAATTTTTACAATGACATGTCATTGAGTTTGACTCTTGGAATTCTTTCCCATGTTTGCTGAAATAATTTTCATTATTTATGTTATTTCAGTAGTGTTCAATTTTACATGCTATTTCTGCCTTAAAACTCACATGTACAGTAATCATTTCATCCTCCAAGCTAAATGGCAAATGCAGTGCCAACAAACACAGTGGGTACATTGTTAACGAAATACTCAAAAGATTCAAAGGTACCACTTAAAGACCATAGTCCTCTGTTACATACAGAAAACCTATCGCCCATAAGGCACAGACTCGGTTATTAAAAATCTGCTTTGAAAAAATGGCAAGACCATCACTATTTTAAGAACCTATGGATTACTAGGAGCATTCAATGTTTATAATGGTGAAATACAAAACAATGTTGAAAATGTGTGTCCAAGTATTTGTAAAAGAGATCGGAACCATATGCATCTAAACGTAGAAGTTCATAGTCCCTAGTATATAATTTCCAAACCTATACACTCTATAAACAGGTAATTTGTTTACAAGTGTGTTGCAACCTTGACTGGTGGCAAAACCAGACCTGTACTAACATGAGACATTTATAGTTTTTATTTTTTCCAAGCAATAAAAGTGTTCATAGACATGAAAATGTATAATTATGGGGTGCTATTGAGAATCTTTCTAGAGGGGTGTTCTATAACATATATTACATAACTACAAAAAACTCAAAAAACCTCTGAACTGTAAAACACAGCTGGCCCCAAGGGATTCGGATAATAGACTGACTAAAATTCAACACTTGAAATTTCAGGTCATGTTATAAACTTGATATTCAATATATCAGAATTTCTAGAAGGAAAATTTTTCATTCTTGTATCCTAAAGAGAGATTTATCTACCCACTATCATTATATAGGAACACAATTCCAGTTTTTTTGTTTTTGCCTTAAAATATTTTGTTGTAGTAATTTGTATTTACAGTATCCTTATGAAATAATCACTCAGTTTTGTAAAGACAGAGAAAAAATTTAAAAACCCAGTTATTCTAGAATCACTTTGATAGAGTTAGGATCTAAATTGATATCCTCAAGCTTGGATGAGATATAAAAAGATAAATGTAGGAAAGGTACTTGCATATTTTCATACTTAGTACCAAAGAGTCGACTTCGGAGAAGGGAAAATAGGAACACATGTAGCATTTATGCAACTCAGTTATAAACTTCATTTGACTACTTCTCCAGGACACAATGAAACTTATACCCAAATATAATACAGTCCTGGGTTTTTTCATGGAACATTCTATCCAGAAAGAGAAATGATTGTCAAATTCTACACTTGTCACAGAACAGCATGACTGGTTAAGGGGTGCACTTGAACAACAGCATTGACCAACTCAAGTCCTAGTGAAGAGTAAGCATGATGGTGATCAGTTTAGAAATTACCTTCTGAAGAACAATTGCAAAGACTGAAATATCTAGCTTGAAAAATAAAAATTTTGGTTAAGATATTTGAAATGAATCAACTCGTTCTTTGCAATTAAACAAACCAGTGTACCAAGTGGAGAGAGTTACTAGAAACACTGTATCTTAAAACAAGGCAAACTGAAAATGAAAACAAAAAGGACCAGGACAGGAATTACCCACTGAGGGTTATGGGATTACTTAATGGGGTTGTGACAAAAGGTTCCTTTCCATTTTGAAAGTGATAAAAATCTCAGCACTACTGTCCAAGTTGAGCTGGGTTTAGAATTTTATCATCTTTGATTATATGATTTTAATATTTATGAAAACATAATGTTTACAAGATATAACATCACGGAGAGAAATCAACTCTTCAACATTTGCTATTGTACTTAGAGCAGAGGGCCAATCAAATATGCATTTACAAGAAAAATATAGTTTATTGGAGGTGATTATTAAAAATCTCATTTATATTCTAAGCTTTTTCTCATACATAGAAAAAACACAATTATGCTATTCTTAAATAAGAAAACTGACTTATTATTAACTGGAAATTCTTAAAATATTATATTCTTTTTCACAAAATAATATTCTTGACAAAAATATACTAAAAATAACTCATCTAACAATTTTAAGTTGGTGAAAATAGGTCTGAACTTTTGCCTTTTTTTCTAATTTCCAAAATAATTTATTTAAATAGAAAACTACTTAAAACTTTCTTTTTTTGAGTGGAGAGGGTAGGTAATACATGAATAACTCCAAGATTTTTTAAGCAGGTACTTAAAAATCTTAAAAAGATTTTTAAAGCATTTTTAAAGAAGGACATGTAAAAAGTTGATTTCCAAACTACTGTTGCTTCTGAAGACAGAACACACAACTGAAAAAGAAAAGTACATACTTTTACATGCCAGGATTATGTTTAAGATGCAAGGAAAGAAGAGAAAATCAACTATTCCTACATCCAGGTGACAGGTAGCTGATCAACAGGTGATTTTCTAACCTCACCAAAACATACAAAAACTTTTTTAAAAGACCAGATAGAAACTCAGTGCTTCACACTTCCAATCACCAACGCACCTCATTTTCCTTTGAGGCAAGTTTTATGTGAATCAATGATCTACTCTTAAATTTTTCTCACCAAAACATGCATATCATGTATTTTAAGGAAAAAAGTAATTATAAGAATGGGAATAAAGCAAAGCTTACTCAAGTCACATTTTCTATTGCAATAGGAAGGGCAAATGCTACCAGAAGGCATACCTGTGGCAGGGCTGAATTGAGCTGTCTCTGGAGCGAATCTCTGTCATAGATGACATCCTGCAGTCTTTGCTGGGCAAGTGAAAGACTTTCTTGTGTCTCTCGAAGGGTGTCTAGAAGACGGTCCCTTTCATCTAGCATATTCACCATCAGCTGCTCAAAATGGGAGTCTGAGTCCGAGCCACTGCTTTGGGACCCCCTTTGGCTCATTGGGGTGTCCTCATTAATCGTGGGCATCACTTCACACATCATTGCTTAAACAAAGTAAAAAGGAGGGAAGTCTTAGTAAAGAAATGGTTGCCAATAATGCCGCCTGGCCCTCAACTCACCAAATGCTTAGCAGCTCATTAGCCTAATGTCCCTTTATTCCTTACCCACTGCCCCAACTCCAAGCAAACTAAATATTTTGACCACAGTGAAAAACAATTAATTGACCTTCCAACAACCAACATGCTCGCTTTTAATGAAACAGCTTGGCTTTACCTACTACTTAAAGTTTTTTTCATGACTTATGCCACCTAATTAAATTTACAGTCATTTGTTTCTATACTTATTAATTGATCATTTTTCTTTCCCTGCAAGTTTACAAATCCCTTATTGTTAATACTTCCATGTTACCTTTATTTGTTACATTGTTCACGACAAGCACAGTGCCTGGCACTTAGTGGGCGGGCAGCAAATTATTTTTAAATGACTTAAATAATTCAATGAACTAATGTTCATCCCTTTGTTTAGGGAAATCCACAAATAAGTGAGTATTCTGTTTATATAATAATCAGTTTTCCCTTTTTAATTTTATCAACCGATTTTTTCACACCAGTTTAAAGCTTCTTGACTTTACAACTCCCAGTATTTTAATTCTATATGCTCTCTTCCCAAATTCCTGCAGTGGCCTAGCGATTGAATTAGATATAAGCTTTATGAAATAGACTGAGGTACATAAATGTGTTGAGGTTAATGTATTACTAATTGCACTTCATATTCCTTTGTTTCCTGTGAGCTGCCTTGTCTGGTTTTCCTCCAAACATTACAAACTAACACTCTTTCAGATATTCCACAAAACAGATGCCATAAATCACATTAGCTAATGTAGTAACTTCACATCTTAGCTGCTAACCAGAGGCTCCCAACCATGAAATAAACGAACTGCTCGGGGTATTTTTTAAATCATTTATTAATTTGATTTAAAATAGACAACACACATATTAGGATATAATATCAGTCTACTATGTGGCATTTTAATAATCAGAAATCATCTCATTTTATCTTTTATCCTCTACCTTATATTTGAGAAAGAATCAAACCCATCTCAGTTTCAGTTCTTGTACAGAGGCCAGTGGCTATTAATTAGAGGGCTTGGTTTCGGAGAAGGCTGATTTGGAGAAAGGCTGGTTTGGCTGTTGATCCTAAAGCATTCTTCGGTTTTGTAATACAAGATCAATTCATTTTTCTGCCTACATATACCTGTCTTTGGGAAAAATGTTTATGGTGATATTTTCAAATAAAAGGCCAAGACTCACTAACTCAACAGCTAATTACTTTATACGTGATTTTTCATATAAAATGAGTTATTAAGAAGAGAAATTAAATTATCTATGAATAATTTGGCCAGGGCTCACTGAAAACGATGGGACACTTCCAGAAAGACGAGAAGAAAGTACTTTTCTGACTGATATCCTATGTAAAAAAATTAAGGAGGATAATTTTTAGAATAACTCAAGACAATGCTTTGAATTATTGCCCATCATTCAAAACAGTGGGCTACCTGAAGGTAAGAATTTGACTTGTTCAATTCCTTAATGACCCTAAAATAAATAACAGAGTAGATACACAAAGATGTACTAATGCACATGTATGCATGCACATACAGACATAATTACTATCATTAAATACTTAATGATGAAAATATAATATTTGCTGTATTATTTCAATTTGAATGCTATTCAAACACTAAAACAAATGTGGAAAACGAGACTCTCTTCTAAGTGCTACAAATTGTCTTTACCTTGACTGAAAAGAAATTGCAAAACAAATAAAGTGTTCCAACACAGTGAAATACTTCAAACAATTAGCTCTCTTGCCATGCATGAAATATACACACTGAGCAGCTGTGTCATTCTGAGAAATCATTACCAGGAACCAATGTGGGATTTTTGGTTTGTTTGATTTTGGTTTTTTGTTTGTTTGTTTGTTTGTTTGTTTGGGTTTTTTGTTTTTTTGTTTTTTGACATTCAAGGTTACAACAAAATAATGGCAGAGGAAACAGCAGCAATGTGATAATTTGTGCCAAAACATTTGCAGGATTTAAATTTGGGGGTTACTTAAATATTATTAAATTAGTATTTTAAATATTTTATATTTCTTGAAAGAAAGCTAATAGCCCATCTTCACTTGGAATAACTTATAAAAACTTTATATTCCGAGAAAAAATATAACTTCAGTAATTACCTCCACTAAAATTTTCTCCTCAATATACTAGCCTAATTCCAACAAAGCCTTTTTGTCACCGTGAGACATTAGACATTCACAAACTTTAGGCTCTTATAGATCAATATAAAGCTGGTCTTAGATTTAGTCCAGAGATGCTATGATGAGAAGCACCTTAGGGACTTAGAAAGTCTATTAAATCTACACTCAAGAGAACTTGATTCAACTTCACTTCTATAGCATGTGAACAAGGGAGAGTCACTTCACCTGTCAAAACTTTAGTTTTCTCTTTTGTAGAGTTAATAATCTATGCTTTTTTTAAAGCCTGTTTTAAGGCTCTTATAATATATCTGACTGAGATCACATAATAAAATACTAAAGTGTTATTACAAATTTAAGTATTTATTTCTATTATATAGTGACCAACATTCATTGTTGTAGGAAGAATATTTTGCTTTTATGATTCATTCTGCTTCCATGCCTAAAGGTTTAATTCCAGTGGGTACTCTGAACTCTCCAAATTCAATTAAAAAAAAAATCAAACGATGCAAAAGTTACCTAGGAAACATGCTGCTTTTCTTTACCAACAGTGAATCCAAATAAGTAAATCTAAACTCTTCTCAACAAAACTAGGAGAAAAGGTTTCTACCAAAAATAAGGCCACTTTCATAAACTACCTTAGCTTCTTATAATAGAGCTCAGATTCTAACATAAATCAAAAAATACTTATATAATCCTTAAAATATAATATAACCTATTTCTCAAAGGCACATTTTAAATATTAAAAGCAATGAAAAATCTTGTGAGAGTTAAACACCTTCTTATAGATGACATCTGAAGCCAACTTGCACAATCCAGAAGCCCATGGTTATTCAACCTCTAGGATATTTCATCCTCATACACCACTTAAAACTTTTGTAATCATTTTCAGAACTAAAACTGCCTTGCATGTCATAATTTATGAAAAACAAGGAAGGGACTACTCCTAGTTTGCTTTGACATTTGCCTTTTCATCTCCTCCTCCCCAAAGTCAATTGGATACATGAATTGTTATCCTCCTCGGGATGATGACGCCTTGTTCATTAAATTACTGAAGGTTACCAAACCTAGTAGAGATTATTTTATTATAGAAGGGAAAAAATAATAATAAAGTTGATTGGTGTAATTATCCCAGTGCTTAGCTTGAATAATTTTATACAAGGAAAACCAACTCCCTCATTCTTACTTAGCACATAACCTTGACTGTCTTCTAAATCTCTCTGATTTCAAAATAAAAGTTTGAATGCCCACTGGAGTCATCACCCAAAAGCTTTCAAGATCCTATGTGTTTCTTAGCAATATATTCCCTTCAAGCAGTACCTATTCAAATATAATAGTGCTACAAAAGGCTTTCTTTTTTTCTGTCAGTGAATCACTTTACCCAGGCAGACCACAAGGATTTAGACCCCAATAGTGGCAAAGATGACATTATTTTTGATAGTTTCTTTTGCAAAGATTTAGTCTAAACTACCCCAGCTCCATCCCGGTTAACCCACAAAAAAAGTAATTTGGTGAGAGAAATCCTAGCCATTGTCTGATTGATTACATTATATGAATATTCCTCCTCCTATTTAACTCTTCGAAATCCCCTGTCCTCAGGAAATATTATCACCTCTAAAGGAAGCATTTTACACTTTCTTCACCCCAGAGGGTTTACAGATGGTCAAAGAGCCGGCACACCTACGTGGCCGGGTAGTTATCTCCCGGCCACACCCCCCCACCCCCGTGAAGAAGTTGACTTCATAATTTCCACACCGAAAATTCTTCATTAAGCCCAACAGGCGAGAACCCAGCAGGAAGGGGGCAGAGAAGGGGGAGGAGGGATGGGGCGGGGGGAGAAGGCACAGGAAGGTTCGGAGCAGTAACTGGCAAGAGGAATTTGCGTCTCATTTTCCCCGGGGGCGGGGTGGGGCCGCGGGCGGGGAGGAGGCAAAGTAAATAAACGAATAAAGCGGTAAGGAAAGCGCGTCACTCCAATACAGTGTTTGTACCTAAGGTCGGTAATTTCGGTCCCGCTGCTTCGGTGGATCAATGACGACCGCAGTCTCCGGCTCCACTCGAGGGGCGGCTCACGCCGGGCGCTCCTGGACCATCTCCCTAGCAACGGGAGGAGAGAGGCCGCTGAGACCCCCGCGAGCCCCGGCGCCCGCCCGGAACGCGCCCCGGCTCCGCGGCGCGGCGGCGGCTCCGCATCGTCCCGCGGCGCCGTCAGCCGCGCGGAGGAGAAGCGTCCATCGGAAAAATGGCATATTACAAATTTTGCTTTGGGAAGCAGAGCTCGGTTCAGACCATTGTCAAAGGGAGGAGAGGGGGAGGCGGCTCTTAAAGCAGCCGCGGCCCCTTTGCCGGAGCCGCCGCAGCCCCGCGCGTGCAGCTGGAGACCCGGGCGGGGAGCCGCGAGCGGGGGGCTGGGCTGGGCTCGCGGAAACTTAACCCGGCGGCGCCGCTCCCGCCGAGTCCGGGCCACCTGCAAGGTCCCCACCCACCCCACCCCCGCCAGCCCACACGCACGGCACGGGAAACGGAGTGACGAGTGTCTGGGAGAGAAGTTTCCCACCCCGTCCCCCACCCGGAGCCCTGCGGAGTTTGGGGCCGACGCCGGGAGTGGGAAAGCCGAAGGGAAGAGAGTCCCAGGGAAGGGAGAAGCAGGACAGGTCCCCTCCTGGCTCCCGGCTGCGCCTCGGCGTCTCATTTCACCTAAGAGAGGTGCCTCTCCTCCGGAAAGGGCGCCGTCAGTCACCCCCTTACACCCGGTTTCTCCTCCCAGCCTCTTTGCAAGCCTCCGCGCTGCTCCAGCAACCACCCTGCTGAGACCCGCTTTGGAGGCTACATCTCCGCTCCCCACTTGCCTCGCGCTGTCGCTGCTGCTGCTGCTGCTGCTGCTCCTCCTCCGTCTCTCCCCACTCCTCCTCCTTGGCAGCCGCCACCTCCTCTTCCCCTGGAACAAGGGCTTCCCCTGGAAGCTGCTGCAGTGGTTTCCACCGGCCCTTAAATAAATTCTGAAGTAATCACGTCTTTGCTCTCCTCCTCACGCACACGCGCTCGCGGATGTACACCACTACCCCGGAGCGGCTGCCGGGCTGCTGGGGCTCGCGCTGGTCCCAGTGCCTCCCGCGAGGGGCCCAGGCCGGAGCTGGGGATGGGCAGGTGTGGGAAGTGGGGACGCTCTTCCACGCCCGACCTTCCCTCCTACACAATGGTCTTTGCAGGAGAGCGCGTGGCGGCCCGCGCTGCTGGGGAGGGGAATGGGCTTGGGCACCGACTGGCTCTCAGGTCTTCCCTGCCTGTCATTTCTTTAAGCAGCTTCCTTTTCCCAGGGTTGTAAAGACCTGAGTCAATCCAGGGTGTGGCGGCGTCTGTCACTTCTCATTACCTCTCCAGCTCCTCTTCCTTCATTGCTTTGGCAATAAGAATTGTACACTAAGTACTCCCTACCCTAGGACATTCCAGCTTGGAGCCCAGTCTGGTTTCCATCGTGTTTCAGTTCCTCTGTACCTAAACACCCCTTTACCTAGTCTCCTCTCCTTCATTCGTACAAACCCATCTCGTCAAGGGGTAGGGAGGAAGCAGAAGACAAAACCAGTATCTACTCTCATCAAAAAAGAAATAATTTCAGTGAGAGAAATTCACATACCCTAGTTTCAGTGAAAAGAAAGAGGGTGTTCAGAGGGAATTGGGAGAAGGGTTAAATGTTAGGAATAATTTGGGACTTAGTGCAAGTACCCTTAGGACATAGTGCAAGAAATCAAAAAGGTATATTTTACTTTTGTTTAAAGCAAAGAGTCACAAGCTAACTAAAGAAACAGTATTCAAATACCAGCTCCCTTAAATTAGGTACAATATTAAAAAACATCTTTCATTTTTAGGGTAGGATTTAATTCATGTAGCGAATCCACAGAGAAATGTTAAGTCAAATAAATGTATTTACCTTCTTCTCTTCCAGATTGTTACTCAAATTCTGCACCACAAGACAATCCTATAAGAATTAAGTGTAAAGATATGAAAAGCGAAATGAAAGGTAAGAATAATATAAGGACTCATTAGATGTCAACCAGAACACACTCTCAAATATAATGTACATATAGATCATTCATGGATCTTCTTAAGTTGTGAATTCTGATTCGCTAGGATTGGGGTGGACCCTGAGTTTCTGCACTTTTACCAGCTCCCAGATAGGACCACCTCTTGAGCAGCCAAGATCTGGACCACTCAATCAACTTCTCCCTCTCCGCTGCTTAAATACCCTTAACCATAAGGAACCCATTAACACAAAAGGTGGCCCAGTCCATTTTCAAATAGATCTGATTGTATAATAGCTTTATTTTGTTAACCAGACATTAGTACTCTTATAATTTTCATTCTCTGGAATTCCCCTGAAGACATAGTCCTTATACACAACAGATCTTCATATTTTTAAAGACAGTTAATGTGTATGTGTCTTTGTCCAAGAATTCCTCCCTTAGGCAAAGAATTGGTTCTAATTTTCTTGATAATCAATAGTCATCAAAAGTGGTCTCAGATGTTCTTAGCATTTCTAAGAAGAGTCTTGATTTGCATGATTACCATTCACATATCAAATAAAGATTTCAATTCTAAGTATAATCCCCCACATTCATTTGACACAACAGCACTGAAAGGCTACCCTATAGTTGGTATCACAGAAAGGAAGAATTTGGCAATGGAAGGCAGAGAGAAAAGGCTATTTTATTAAGGAGACAGAATCTGCATGGTTCCTCTCAGCCTAGGAACCACCCCAACGCCACTGCCAAGAGTATAAATAACATATTCTATCAAACTGAGAGACCTTTTTAAGAAACAATTTTGCAGAAAACATCAGGTGAACCAATTCATAAGAGAGGAGTCACTCTCTGTACCTTTAGTAATCTTTAACTTAGCATTCAAGAGAATCTCCAAAACATTTCTGGGCCTGTCCCCAGAGTTAGAGATTCAGTAGGTCTGTGGTGTGGCCAAAGATTTTGCATTCCTAATAAATTCCTAAGTAATGCTAATAATACTGTTAGGTCAGAAATCCCACTTTGAGAACAATTAACGACTGCTTAAGTTAATCTGGAGAAACTTGGAAAGGCATAAGTACAGAACATAAAAAAATAGCTGATAAATATTTTGCACTCAAAGCAAAAATCTCTCACACAAATACAAAACCAGCTATTTTGCTGAAGTTATCATCTGTTCCTGAGTTTGATAGCCTAGAATCAGTGATTGAGATGAAATAGTCAACTAGGTTTAGGCAGAGGTAGTAGAAGCCACCTCTTTCTTTAGTCTTAGTACCTGACATTAATGAAACCATTTGAGCCATAAAGACGTATAATATTGCCAGCCACACTTACTAATGCTTCCACAGCACATTTTATTTCAAATATGAGTTTTTTATCTTTATACTCTCTTAGGTGCAGAATGTCATACAGCCACTCTCATTTTTACTACAGTAGCTAGTCTTTCCATCTCTTTAGATATTCTGAATAGTGCATGGTTTATTAATAATCTCATAATAGTAATAATAAGAAGCATTTGTTTTATTTAAATCAAAGATAGTTTTGTTTGTAAAGATAAAATTTACTTTAATCAGCACCAAACAAAATGGGTAGTTAAGCATGGGCCATAACAATAACAAAGATTTAATAAATGGCATAATTTGTCTTTTTAAGTGCAAGGATAATTTTCATGCAGAATGAAAGCAAGTAATGTTAGTTGTAACAGACATGTTGATATCACTATCACCTAATTTCAACAATATAGTTACCCATTTATGAAAACATTTTCTATACTCACAATAGTTCACATTAACATATTAAAATACTTAGATGATATTTTCTGCACTTCCAGTTATTGGCGAGTTTAAAATTTAAGATGGATTTGACAGTAGGAGTAGTTCCCACCATACACTTTTAATCTTGTGTGAACATAAATTTTATTTTATTTTCGTTAAACAATTAGGCCATGAACTATTATTACTTTATTACTTTATTTATTTATTTATTTAGAGTAAGCAACAAATAAGCCCAAATATATAATGTATCAAATGCAATTGAAGTTCATTTTTCACTCTCTCAGTATTCCAAGTGAGAATTGGTTAGTGAGCTACTTCATTCTACACAGTAATTTAGACTTCTTTCTTGTCTGAATTCTGTCATCTATCTCCCGGAATTTTGGGTCCAGGTGATGGGAAGATAAGGAGAGGCTGGAGAAGACACATGAATTCTAAACTCCTTGGTCCAAAAGTAACACACACTTTTCTCACATTCAGTTGATGAAAACAACTCACAGGGCAATATCCATTACAAGAGAGTTTTGAATAGTCTAGATTTAAGGCCAGAAGACAAAGAAGCTTTGGTAAAAATTTAGCCAGTTCCTCCCACATATTATTTGCAAAAGTGATCATGGAAATAAAAGGTATGTAAAAAATATGTTATATTTAAATGTTCTACTTTTCATATATTTATAAATAGATTAAATTTAATTAATTGGATTAACAATCATGACATTAATAACAAATTGTAGCACAAATAGTAAGCATTATTTATTATGTAAGTTTTATGCTTTTTTTTTTATACTACACGTTACTTTGCTTACCTGACAAAAAAGGCAAACTACAGAATATGAAAGCTCTCCTAAGCACATGGTTGCTGACTCTTGTGCCTTCACATAAACATATAAGCATCAATTCTCACAAGATAAATTGTAAAATGTGACATTAATCAACCTTTATGCACTTATATGGGGTTACTGTAAAATGTAGCAATATGACAAATAGTCACTGAGATTTCAACTCATAACTAAAAATAACTTAGTATTGTAGAAGAGAAAACTCAGTTATTTTTGAAGTCAAGGTGTGATAAGAGAAGACAATGTTTATTACATATTCAATGTCATTGAATATCACTCTAAGAGCAATAGAAGGGCACTGAAAAATAAAATAATGATGACTTGTGAAATAAATTTTTATTCTTTGTAAAGGAAAGAAATAACATCATAGGAAAGAATATTTTCTTTCTAGCCCCCTATGTGATGAAATATTAAGAGAAAAATTTTAATTATATTCTTACTTTGTTTTTACTTAAAGAGGAGATATATTCTAATATAAATTCTCATGATAAA